AAAGGGGTAGGGTTAAATCCCTACTCCACTGCTCCCTGCTAATTCCCCTTGTTCCTCCAAGAAGGATTTACTTCTGCTGCCAGCTTGTGAAAGGCTTTCTCTGCCCATCCGAAAAGTTAGCCGTCGCCTTCCTGCGGAGGTGTGGTTGCTATAGCAGGGGCGTCATGCGTGGCTATTCCATCAGAGGTCCCGCTGAGAATGGGGAACGGGTCAGGGGGGCTGACGACAGCCAAAAAGTCCGGATTAGATGCCGGGACAAAGCCAGGACAGGAAGATTCCAGAAGGAACAAATGGGAATTACAGCAGCAAAAATAATGCAAAGTGACAGAGAGGGGAAATAGAAAAATAATGGCTTACAAGATTAGAACGGGTGGGGAAAAAAGGAGGTGAGAAGAAAAGAGGCGGATGAAAGGGAATGTTTTCATTTGGATGAGAAGGATCCCGAGAGGTGAGCAGGCGAAACTAGAAAGTGTCACCACCGCTCAATAGGGTTAATTTCCTGTGCTTTCCGGCCTTTTCGCCCCGAGGATCCACATCGTTGAATAAACATTTGATTCAGACTCGAGTCATGACGGATTCATTATTCTGTTTGACTTGTTTGACAGATCCGGCATGTAACTGGTTAATCTAGCCAAAACGCGGCATCAGTCTTGGTTGAAGATGAAGGTTGTGACTGTTTGGATGTGTTTAGACAGCAGAGATTCCATGAATATGATGGAATGCGCAAAATCATCTTGTTATTGTTACCCACTCATCTTTTTGCAATGTCCTCTACAGATGTTTCACAAGATCGTATCACAGCGCCGTGGTCTTCATGCCAAAAATTACAACCATGCTAATCTTCGATACTTGATTTGTTGGGGAAAAATGATTCTGTTTTCGTGTGATTAATGAAATCTGTGTGGACATAATTGCTTGAACAATAGGGAGTAACCACAACAGATCAGCCTGTGTCTAAACATAAAATGATGAAGGTATGTTTCATACTAATATTCCTTCAGACTGGAGAAAGGAGCCAGGTAGATTGATATCCCACGAGCGCTCGAAAACTGTTGACATGCCAATAGTTTAGTTAGGATTAATAGTTTTCCACTGGCAAATAAAATCATCTAATCTTATTGTCCAACAATAAATAAAAGATTATAGGTTTTTGTAGTGCTTGCTAATGCCAGTATACATATTGTTATATTCTAAAATAATAGGGTTTTAAGAGTTTTTGATGTCAAAAAATCCCTAAATAGGATGATTGAGGGAGTTAAAATCAGATGGCAGTTGTATGTGTTCATGCCTTACATCCCATTTCTTCTGTGGAAAAAAAAACAGTGAACATAACGTTACTAAGAGAATATGATGGTAGATTTAACATTTAATTTATTCTGTCATGTCATTACCAAAACATAGAGAACATGTAAATAAAATAAGCATTCCAAAAGATTAAATAGATATAGTGCTCAGCATATATAAGTACACCCCTCACAAATCTCTCACTTAAATTAATATTTTCAATAGGATGCTTTACAATATTATATTGAGCATATACGTTAGATTAGTCAGTAGTGAAGCCAAATCTGGAGCTTATCTAACAAATTATTGGTTCAAAATATTGGTTAGATAATGGTTCAAAAATTAGTTGCCCAAATTTATGTTATAGAAAAATATTAAATAGCATTTTCAAAAATAGCAAGAATGAAGAAAAGTAAAAAATATATAAAATTATGTTGAAATGTTGTAGGTTAATTGTAATATGTTTTTGCAAGATCTCTCTATTTCTAAAGATGTTCTGTAAATATTATTTTAATAAATATTTCTGTTTATTAAATCTGATAGATAGATAGATAGATAGATAGATAGATAGATAGATAGATAGATAGATAGATAGATAGATAGATAGATAGATAGATAGATAGATAGATAGATAGATAGATAGATAGATATTTAAATGCGTAATTTGATTAACTTATTGCATTTTATTCTGTATTTTTGAATTTTAGATGTATTTTCTGCTTGATAAAGTAGCCCTAACTTGCAATTATCCAACGTAATATCACACAACTAGGATCTGTCAGACTTAGCCTATTTTGTAGCTTTAATAATGACGCAGTTTTGCAAATGACGAGGCATTTCCACTGTATGGTTTATTCTCGTGACAGCTCAAAAGACGCCCATAGAAAATCTGACAGTCGCTCTGAGAGAAAGAAAAAAAATCTATACAAACTCTGGCAAACAGAAGCGATGCAGCTGGTCGTGTGTCCAGCGGGTCGTCATTATCGGTCGCCCATCACTATCTCACAAAGAAATTACCATCACAAAACCCGCCATATTTACACATATTCATCCGAACTCATATTAACACATATTCATCACTGTCAGCATCAGCAGAATATGATGATGGGCATGAACAATACCGCAGATGAAGCGCAGAGATACACAAGCAGCAACGCCGGGGCAGCTGTTCGAGCAGCCCGAGCAAACAAAAGCAGCTCGGCTTAATAAATCAGCTTTTATGGGCTGGACAGAGTCGCGCGGACGGTTCCTGTAGCGGTGGATCCCGCTGAACCTCACATGATGAGGCGGAGATGGCAATATCTGTGGCTGTAATGAAAGCAAAATGATTTTATCGACACCCGCAGGAGGAAATGAAGGCTGCTGCGGGGCGGCCGCGCGCTCTGTTATGTAAACACACACACACATGTATTGTGGCATGGAGGATGATTGTAGAGTTGATCTGACAGGAGGTGATGCTGGCGGTTCATAGCAACACAGTATGCACGCTTGCATAGATTTTGAGTCAAAATATATTTTTAAACGAATAAATGATTATAGATTTTTTGGAGAAAAAAAAATATTTTCTCTTTTATTTTCGCTTTCAATTATTCTAATGCATACTTTTTGAATTAGTTTTTTTTTCAGTAAAAACATGATCCTAAACTTTCCTAATCCTAATCCTAATCCTAAACTACAATTTCACCAGATGACTTAAATAGCTCTATTTGCAAATTCATTACTTTAGATGGATTGAGATGATTATGTAGGGGAGACTAATAAATACTAATACTAAAAAATAATAAATGTTATTTGTCATATACATATAATGAACAAACTACAGTCATAAATAAATACAATGAAGCAGATATTAAAGACAAGAAACCGTGCTTTATTGTATTCTGAAGAGAGTAACAGTTTTCAGGTACAGAAATTGAATAAATCAAATGTAAAATAACACTAGGATGGCACCTTTTCAAAAGGACACATTTGCACTTAAAGGGTCCATATTGGTACCTCAAAATATATATTGGTACTTAAAAATGTTAAGAAGAACACTTGTGTACTTTTTTGGTACTAATATTCACAAATTTGTACCTTTTGAAAAGGTACCACCCCAGTGACAGCTCACGTGCCTTTATTTCTGAGAGTATATAATCCCAATGAACATTGCATATTTTGCGATGTGACTATTGCTGATGCTCACATTGCGATATCGATGCTCAAATGATATATTGTGCAGCCCTTATATTTTTAATAATTCTGACTTCAACTGGGTATATCTATCCATTTATCCATATATATATATATATGCATATGTATGTATGTGTGTGTGTGTGTGTGTGTGTGTGTGTGTGTGTGTGTTTGTGTGTGTGTGTGTGTGTGTGTGTATATATATATATATATATATATATATATATATATATATATATATATATATATATATATATATATATATAAATGTATATATATAATACACACTTGTTTTTTTTTATACTGACACTGTGACATTAGATTGAGTAAATAAACTTTATATTTTTGATAGTAGTCTGACCTTTAAAAAAAGAATAAAGCATCATCTCAGTGAATCTCTTCACATGTGCTTCTTCTATATCAAGCGTAAAAATCCATTCATTATTATTATTATTATTACCTTATTATTATTATTATTATTATTAGATTTCCTCAGATCCACAGGTCATTGTTATTTAATTGAGAAAAAAAAATACAAAGGCAACCAGATCAGATCAGCCTCACAGTCTTTTTAAGCCATCTTCCTTAAGCAATGACTTCCGGTCTGAGTGTCATTGTGTGTGTGTCGGTGAAGCCTGTCTAATCACTGTAGTGAGTGTGGTGAAGGGCCCGCGCCGCTGATTCAGGTTTGCTGGAGCGTTGGGTCGAGAGCTGATCCCGTATTTCCTCCCATTGGGTTGTGCTGAAGCGTTGAGGAGTTATCCAGGCCGCATGAACACATGAGCCAGTGTCAAAGCAGATCACTCTGGGGCTCAGCATCAGCCTCCTGCCCCCTTAATCAGCACATTCACACACACACGCCTACTGCAAGAGAAAAATAACTGTCTCCTATCGGGGTAGATTGGATAAAAGTTAAATAAATATAATATACCAGTTTATTTAATTTAATTGTATGCCCCTTCTAACATGTAGGCTAAAAGTAGCCAAAAAATAGAGGAAGAACAAATATAAAAACTAAATATGATAGTATTTATTTATATTTGTATTTATTTGTTTGTTTTTTTGTTTGTCTGCTTGTTCAATTGTTTATTTTTTTATTTATCATTCTTTATTTTGTAACATATTAGAAAAAAACACTTAAAATCAGCAAGGATTCCTACAAATTTGTCAAAATAAATGACATTTATAATGGTATATTTGAAAGAAATGCATTTTAAAAGCTTCAATAAAAATCTTTTCTTCAATTACAATTCTTGTTCAAATTTGAATTACATATGTTATATACAGTGCCTATAGAAAATCATCATACACCTTCAAAAAATTACTTATTATTTGTCATAAAGCTTAAAATTAAATCGCGTTGCAGATAACGTTTCCAGCCTTTGAAATGTTTTTGTAGCCTTATCCTAGTCTGTTCTTTTCTACGACTTTATCCCAAAGTTCTTTTGAAAGCAGGGTAAAGGTATAGATTTTCACACATTTTTACACTTTCACACATTTACACATTGTTTTTTTTTGTTTTTTTTTTCTCGTTGTCACTTCAGGTTATTTGCGACCAAATGCAGCGGATGCCTGGAGAAAATTGCACCTACAGAATTTGTGATGCGGGCGCTGGAGTGTGTTTACCATCTCAACTGCTTCTGCTGCTGTGTATGTGACCGACAGCTGAGGAAAGGAGATGAGTTTGTGCTGAAGGACGGACAGTTGCTGTGCAAGAGCGATTATGAGAGGGAAAAAGACCTGCTCGGCTCTGTCAGCCCAGATGACTCAGATTCAGGTATGAAAACATTTACTGTCAATGTGTCTGGGAATGTATGATACAGAGCCAGTGGGTTACTTTAACCTCATTGGTTTTCATTGGACGGACAATATAGAAAATTACATAACACTACTAATTGTCTTTATTCAAACTCTTCTTTGATAATCAGTTACCTAATTTCAGGTATGTATATATAATAATGAAGTACTAAAGGTGATGTTTTTCCCATAGTTTTTATTTTTTTTAAGGTTTGCATATCAAAAATAACACTGACTACGTTTACATAGACAACAGTAATCAAATTATTTGCCTTAATCTGAATAAGACAATAATATGATTAAGGTGTTTACATGAGTTGCTTTTTCAATGTTCTTTTTATTATCCCGTTTAAGCACATAATTCAATTAAAATCATTGCATTACCACGCAATCCGCATTTCCTCTGGAGTTTTATGTAATTTTAGGTGTTTAATTTTTTATTTTTTGACTTTAACTGCACTTTCACTTTTATTCAGGAACATTTCATGCATGCTCCCGTGATAAACAAGATATTGAATGTGATTATGAACTGCTGGAAGAGTTTTAATGTGTTGTTTTAACGGAATTTGAAACGACATGATGTTCGGGGGAAAAAACTCTGCATTTTGCGATGCAGGTGTTTGTGGTTCTTTACTGACTCAGTAGGTGCAGAGAATAGTGTCAAACAGCTGTGTGTGCATGGAATATCCTGTTGCAAAACACAACGTAAATCCTACACAGCAGTAATAGTTTGATTAAGGTGTTTACATGTCTGTACTATATTTCAGTAATGCGACTAAAATAGCATACTCCACATGTCTTAATCTGAATTCTGTTTAGATCGATTATGTCTTTAGTCGGATTAAAGCAATCAAAAATCGCTGTTTACATGGTAGACTCTAAAGGTGCTTTCACACCTACACTTTTGTATCGGAACCTGTCTCGTTTGCCTAGTTAGCTCGGTTTGCTAACCAAAACAATCGCTCCGAGATCGCCTGAATGAGGTGGTCTCGGCTCGATTGAAACAAAGTCTGAAGCGGATCGATTGTAGTGAGAAAGCGATACGATTCGAGGCCGCCTACATCACAGTGTTTTATGGATATGTAATAGGCATGCGGCTATATGAAGATAGAATTATGAGTAGGGCAGGAGATCATACAGACGTCTCAAGTCTCACGGAAGTTCCGTGAGTCTTCCCCAAATGAAATGCACAGAGACCCCCCGGATCCCCGCAAACGAGTGATAATCTCCTGAAAATCGCGCATCTCCCTCCCGATCCTCAAATAGGCTACATTGCACACCCTTCTTACGCCTGCCCACAGCATCCCTCCTCGCTCTTCAGACATGTCTCACGCACCCTGTCAAACACCACCAAACCACCACCCCCTTGACAGCTGAGCGGGACTCTGCAAAATGAACCGTGTTACTCTGACCAATGTGAGGAGAGTTTACTTACACGTGACTTGTTTTAGCTCTTTTGGTCCGTTTAGAAACTATGCCGTGTGAAATCGAACCGCACCAAGAGCAAAGAGCAACAATGTAACAATTTTAATCCCTGTTTCAGAAAAAATGAATCGATTCACAGGTGTGAAAGCACCTTCAATCAGTGTATTGTCTTAATTGTTTAATAAAATCAGATTATTGGTACGTGTAAACGTACTCATTATCAAAATGTCTCACTGTGTAAAGAATGATTGTTTCTTTTAGTTCTGCCACTGCTGTTTTAACTGTCAAGTTTACAAAGTGCTACTCAAACTGAACAATGCACATGATAGCATGGTTTTCACAAAATTACTTTGTGGTGATTACAAAGTACATTGAGTGATGGTTACACTTTTTTTCCAAAAAACTTGCGCTTTAAAACTCACTTTAAAAAGTTTTTATTTTCAGGCCATTTCAGTGTCATATGTCCTGTAAATAAACAGCCACAACTGATCTACAATTGTTTGTATATAAATTAGTCAACATTCGAAGTGGATCAAAAAAGATTTTCAAAATTGTTATCCTGTAAGACAAGAATGGGTGTTGTTCCATAGTTTTAAAATGACTTTTATGAAAAGTTTTAGTCCACTTCAAATGTTGACTACTGTATGTATAACTTTGACGGAAACACTAAATTAGACCAACCTTAAATACAACTTTCACAGACTTGCCTAGTAGCCTAAATGATAAGTGCGGTTTATTCATAAACTAATTTCAAGAGGATCACATGTTTATGATTGATCATGGCTAGTCCCACATCAGCTTCACATAGTGCGCCAATCAGATTAATACTAACTCACTATAAATAACCAGAAAAAAGAGTTTTTCACAGTCATCTTCATCTTGAAGAATTCCCCTTTCCACCCCTACTCATTTCCTTCTGATAGGCAGCATGGCAGCCCAGTGGTTAGCACTGTTGCCTCACAGCAAGAACGCCACTGGTTCGAGCCCTTACTGGGCCAGTCTGCGTTTCTGTGCAAAGCTGCATGTTCTCCCCGTGCTCGCATGGGTTTTCCCCGGGTTCCCAGGTTTCCTCCTACTGTAAAAAGACATACAATATAAGTAAATTGACTAATCTAAAATGGCATTATATGGATATTCTGAGCTCAGGGCTCAGAAACACACTTTATTACCAATCATCAGCTAAGTGTAAACTCTTGAATAAAATGTGAATATTTGATTGATTCAGAGAGATTTGGTTGAACCAGAAACTGATTCTCAAGAGCAAATGCAACATGTTGTTAGCATGTTTGCATTATTAACTCAGACAGCTACTTTAAACAAATCCACATCTGCAGCTAGAAACACATTGAATGTCTTTAAAAGTCAGAGATAATGATTCGAAACACCACAACTCTATTGGTTGAATCATGTTTTTCAGCCTATCTTTGATGTGCTGTAGTTTTATTGTGAAAAGGCTCAGCAATGGCGATTGTTACATGGGTGCTGGAAAGAAGAAGGGGTTGAACCTTTGTGAGTGACAACAGAAGAGTCAGTTCATGCTCATTAAGCATCTCAAACTTTACTTTTAGCATTCCCATATGGGTCTCATTTAAATGCAGCACACACTCTCAACTGCAGAGACATTTGTCCAATGCCTAATCAAGACTGCATCAACTCTTTTTTGGATGGTTGTTTCTTTTCTCTTCTTCATTTATAATGTTTGAAAGTTTTTTTGTAAATGTGTGTTTGAGGTTTCCAATTTGGCCTAACACAAGATGTGAAGTATAATGGCAAAGCATCCATTTGGTTTGCAGCACGCCACACTACTGGCAGAAAAAGAGATCAGAAACAGATGAAAAAGAAAAACGAAGACCAAATCAGCCTGTCATGTTTGTATCTCCCACTGATGATCACTAAAAAAGGGTCAAACCATTTGCTGGGCCTAATCGCCAGAGATGTTAACTGCTGATGCCACGAAAGCCACTTGTGCCAAATTGCAGAAGCCCTTAATCTAGAAAACAGTCACGCTGGGAACGTGCCCATTTGGATTTTTAACTTTTGAACTGGGCCACGTTATACAGTTTGGCACCTTTTTTTTTTTAATTACTATTATTATTCTATTAAACACAAGCTGATGTGGCTTATTGGATGAAACCTCCACCCACTGAACAATAAAGCCAATCCCCTGCTTGACTATAATAATTACAGTAGGAAAGCCAGGAGCCATTTTGTGAATATGGCACATTAGCTGGACCTACTGAGAGAGATTATCACGACACAGGGCAGGCTTGATTAACCCGCCCGAGGATCACCTTAGACTAATTGAGACACTTTGATTAGTTCGTATGAACACATTTCGTGATATGAGGCCAGATATTGAATTGAACTTTATGGATTGGTGAGCTTAAAATGTGCTTGTGCAGTTTGATATGTCGAGTCTTTCTGTGAGCATGTTCGCTGTTTGAATTTGCGGTTTCGCTATCTGTTTCACTTCCCCTGGATATTAGAACTCATTTCCCATATGTACTCTGCCTTCATACCTTCCCAAAACGTCGCATTTGCTGTGTGTTGGATTCTTATCAAAGATTTATATAGTGCAAAACAGCCAAAGCCGTGCGCTATTAATTTTAAATGACACAACGTCCAGTCCAATGACAAATTCACATACTTCACAGTCAGGGTTGCAGTGGATGTGGCCCACTCGTGCACTAATAAATTGATAACAAAAGTATTAAAACCACATGTGTCTCCTTTCGTTATGGATGCGCTGAGACTGAATACCCTAAAATTGAAAAGAACAAAAACACCTATTTATCAGTGTCTAAAAACTTTGCAGATTTTTTTTTTTACTGATTTTGATGAATGATGGATTCCTTTTCAGAGAAAAGCGAAGATGAGGAGCTGGATATCAAGCCGGAGAAAGGCTCGGGAGGCACCGGGAAGGGAGATGATGGGAAAGACCCTAGAAGACCCAAGAGACCACGTACCATCCTCACCACACAGCAGAGACGAGCCTTCAAGGCGTCGTTCGAGGTGTCTTCCAAACCCTGCCGGAAGGTGCGTTCCTCCGGATATCAGCTTCCTCCATCTCTTGTTTTTATATGGATGTCAGATCATGAGTCAATAAGAATAAAAATGGTTTGAGCTATGTTTCAATCCACCCTTTTGTAAGCGAATTTGGGACATTGCATAAAAACATTCTTAATGGAAAAACACCAAGATTCGCATAACAACTTATCCAGGCATCTGAGTAGAATAAACTTCATACATTCATTCATTTTCCTTCGGCTTAGTCCCTTTATTCATCAGGGGTCGCCACAAGAAAAACGGTGTTATATTTCCAAAATGTTTTGTGGGATTTCAAGTTTTGCGCATGAATCTAATTTGCATCTTTGGATAGAAACTGTACTATTACTGTAGCTATTGTGAGGTATAAATGTATAATAAGTAACAATTGTGTGAAATAAAGTTTTGAAAGATGGAGCTAATTGAAATATGTAGAGATTAAACATACAAAAGAAGATATAAGCTGGAAAACTGTAATCATTGGCTTCCATAGCAGGAAGTCAAATACTATGAAAGTCAGTGGTTTCAGGTAAGAAGCTTTTTTCAGTTTTTTTTTTTTTTTTTTTTTAGTTTTCAAAAGAAGAAAAAGAAGTGTAAAGGTCTTTACACACCAAAATCCAAAATTTTTGCATGCAATTTTTTTTTTGTATTCATATGCAAAAAAAATGTCACGTAAATAAACCTTGCACACTGAGTCCAATGCATATTATTTAATCCATTATGAAAAAACGCATAACATTTCAGAGTCAGTTCAAGCAGATTCTGCTTTTCTCCAGAGTATAACAAGAAAGAAGAATAGGTTACATATTGTGTCCATATTCTTTTAATACTAGCCTACATAAAGTGGAAGGAGAGTTCTCCTCCTTATCAAAGAGCTGCACTATGATTATTCCGAAATGCAAAGTTTATTTCAGGAAATCAGTGGAATTTTGACATTACTTGTGATACTTCACACATTCATGTATGTAAACAAAACCTTATGGTGGCCGCGTTGACATTTCGAAGCAATGGACTGTCATGCTTTAATTATAATGTCTATGGGCAGTATGTCAAATGTATGGACACACAACAACAAGCATCTGTGGAGAGGTGCACCAGTCGCTGAATCCAGCATATACAGTAGGGGTTCTCAACTGCCCTCCACATTCTGTCTTTATTTTATGCACTGTGTTTTTCATCAGGTTATCTGTCGCTCAAATTATGGGATACTGTATTTAGCTTTTCGCTTGAACAATCTTAAAGCAGAAAAAATCTAACCCGGTTCAAATTTTTTTGTGACGAATGAAAGTTTTAGAGGCATTGTGTCAATACTTTTCACACAACGCAAGGTCTAATTTATTTTTTAACTTGCGAAAATTGCGAACAAAATTTCAGATTCAGTGTGCAATAACCTTGAAGGTTTGGAAACACTTGAGGGAGAGTAAATAGTGTGTAAAAAACATTTATTTTTAGGGGAACTATTTCTTTAAAAACAATCCACATTTCAACAAATAAAATCACAACTGTGGAATACAATAAGATATTATGTGTTAAGTTGCAATTATGTAAAATAAATTGTGAAATTTCAATTTGTGAGAAATTTTGAGAAGAAACTGCAGTTATACCGGTTTTGAGAAGGTGCAAATTCTCATTTCATTTTCATTTCATTTTCTTGTCGGCTTAGTCACTTTATTAATCCGGGGTCGCCACAGTGGACTGAACCGCCAACTTATCCAGCAAGTTTTTACACAGCGAATGCCCTTCCAGCCGCAGCCCATTTCTGGGAAACATCCACACACACATTCACACACACACTACGGACAATTTAGCCTGTACCGCATGTCTTTGGACCCACGCAAAGGCAGGGAAAACATGCAAACTCCACACAGAAACACCAACTGAGCCGAGGTTCGAACCAGTGACCCAGCAACCTTTTTGCTGTGAGGCGACAGCACTACCTACTGCGCCACTGCCTCGCTGGTTCAAATTCTCAATTTAGCTAAATCAAGAAAGTCATGTAAGACCATGTTTTTTAATGTAAAGGTGACAGTCACATTGTGAGCCTCAGAAATTTGCACAGTCAATAAATAGTCAAATAAACAAGATATAAAGTCACATATAGTAACTGTAACTGTCATATTGTGAGAAAAAGTACTGTAGCATTTGTGAGACTTGATGTCAGTTGTGAGGTTAAGTAGTACGTACTGAGATTAATTCGCAATTACAAGACATGAAATCACAACGATGACATTGTTTAAGATAAAGTTACAATAATGAGAAAATGTCAATGCTTTGTAAATGTATTTCCAAATATTACACAGCCTCTTCAGTGAACACATAAATGATTTTTGTTTTATGCTGTAGGTAAGAGAGACACTGGCTGCAGAGACAGGTCTGAGCGTACGCGTGGTTCAAGTGTGGTTCCAGAACCAAAGAGCTAAGGTGAGTCCAGGTCTTGTACACTACAATATGAATCATCCAGTATTACCCGCGCAAACCCGATAATGTACATCCAAGGAGCAGATAACACAACAATTTGCAAGTAATCCTCCAACAACGCACTAAACTCCTCGCAAACGCTGCCAAAAGGGAAAGAGCGAGTGAGTCTCGAGACAGCAAATCTCAGTCGCTATCTGCCTGAAGCTTAACCTCTCGACGCATTCCACAAAAAACTCCCCAAGAGTTCGCGAGAGATGTATTCACATCCATCCTGCTCTTACGTTAGCGTCTGAAACCCACCTCAGAGCCCTGATTTTATCTTCAAAAGGCTGTGGATAATATAATGCAGCCAGATCAAGCTTGGCGTAGTTCAAGCAGGGGTGAACAACAAGGAGCATCTCTCTTCAGATAGCCCAGAGTTGGTCTGGGGAGTCGCGAAGTTTTCTGATTGTGCTTTTATCGTTATTTTTTCAGATGAAGAAGTTGGCGCGGAGACAGCAGCAGCAACAGGAGCAGCAGAACTCCCAAAGGCTGGGCCAAGGTAAAATGTCCTGACATGAACCTTAAGGCAAACGTATCAGTCACAAATATGATTTGTCAGAGGTCAACAAGCATAAAATAACATTGTTTATTTTCAATCTGCAGTCATTTTTCTCTGCATTTTCACAATGGGGTATGTGCATACCGACTTTTAATTTCAGTCAGCCAGCCCCAGGGCTTCCAGTTAATTGTCATCCAATACAAAATCACCACGTTTAAGATCAGATTTATAAAAAAATACATAGATCTTCACTGCCTGGCTGATATAAGATATAAAGTGGGTATCAGACTAAAGAAGAGGCACTGCATTAAGTTTTATTTTTCCATGCCATGTCTTTAAAATATATTAATTTTACCCCAGTATTTTCAATAGAATTTCTGTGCTATCCTGCTGCTAATGACAACACCTGGGTTTAAACTCTTTGCACGCTTTAACAACCACATGAATGCTTAAGTCTATTTAACTAATTATATTTGAATTTCATTACAACGTCAATGCTGGAAAAAGCAACCATATGAAATCGAAAATAGTCACATAAAGCTTTCATTGAAAGTTCATCATTGGCTGAAAAACACTAGCTGTACATATAGCCTATTCAGAGGAATTTAATTTCTTGTTGTTGTCTTTTTTACTACAGTGTGTATTGTTGCTGTTTGATAATTAAAAATAACTGCAATGTTGGTTGAAAAAGGAGTTTTCCATCATCAAAAACTCATTTACACAATCCCTCAAATTCCTTAATTGTTTCCTGAGATTTTTGTTGACATCGCAGTTTCCTAAATTTAAATCATTCCCACCTAAGTGAGAAAGACCTGGCCTAATTGTCTTTTATCGCACATGTAATTTCTTCCCCAGCTGTTTACATTCAAGGATGGAACAAATATTATTTGAACTTCAGTTTTTTGTGTGTGTGATTTGATGGAGACTTTAAATTTAAACTCCTGAAACATGGTGTCTGACAGCAATGTTTTTGTTTGTTTCAGTGTGTGACTTTTTTTTCGGGTTTTTTTTTTTTTTCGTCGATAATGGAATCACTTTCAAAAACTTTAAAATATCTTTTCAGAAGATTGGGTTATTAGACTCCTTATTATTATTAATATTTATGTTATTAGACAAAACCTTTATTTTGGCTCAATTCATTCATTTATTTTCCTTCGGCTTACTCCCTTCATGAATCAGAGGGTCGCCATTGTAGAATGAACCACCAACTTATCCAGCATATGTTTTACACAGCGGATGCCCTTCCAGCTGCAATTGGAAAACACCCATACACACTTGCATTCACACACATACACTATGGCCAATTTAGCTTATTCAATTCACCTATAGTGTTTGTCTTTGGACCAGTGACCTTCTTGCTGTGAGGTGACAGTGCTAAACAGTGTGTCGCTCCTGTTTTAGCTAAATGCCCTATACAAAATTACTCTTTAAACATTCATTCAGTCATTTTCTTGTAGGCTTAGTCCCTTTATTAATCCGTGGTCGCCACAGCGGAATAAACCACCAACTTATCCAGCACATTTTTACACAGCAGATGCCCTTCCAGCCGCAACCCTTCTCTGGTAAACATCCATACACACTCATTCACAATTATACACTATGGACAACTTAGCCTTCCCAATTCACCTGTATGGCATGTCTTTGTACTGTGGGGAAAACCGGAGCACCCGGAGAAACCCATGCGAATGCAGGGAGAACATGCAAACTCCACACAGAAACGCCAAATGAGCAGAGATTCGAACCAGCAACCCAGCAACTTTCTTGCAGTGAGGCGACAGCACTACCTACTGCGCCACTGCGTTGCCCCTCTTTAAACATTTTTTTCTAAATATAAATGAATAGAATAACTTAAATTTAAAACTTAAAATAATTCAAAACTGACTCACATTTTTTTTTCAAAGTTTTTCCTTTGCATTTTTGCAGTTTACAAATAGAATGGAATCGCTTTCAAAAACATTATATTATGTTATCAACTGATTGGGTTTTCATGTTGTGAAATGGCGTTGTTGTAAAAATAAGTGGCGAAAGTATTCAATTTTTAAACTTCTGAATATGTGTTACATAAATTTCTCCCATAGCAATCATGGTCTAAAGAATATCTGAAAGTAGTAAGTGAAATATCTCACTTTTCACATCATGAATTTTATCCAAACTCTTAAAAACAGGGTCAGGTGACCAGTGTTAATTGTCAATGAAAATGGTTTCATTAAAGAAAAAAAAAAACACAACAGATCTGCTGCACCATAATGTGACAATTTATATGTCTGAACTGCTCATAAAGTGAATGAACAGCACAATGCAGCAGATTATAAAAAATATATACAGAAGTCAGAATTATTAGTTCCCTGAATTATTAGCCCCCCTGTTTTTTTTTCACTAGTTTCTGGGGACATTTTTAAGCATAATAGTTTGTTCTATAGACTATCGAAAAAAAATGCTTAAAGGGGCTAATAATATTGACCATAGAAGTTTTAAAAAACTTTTTTTTATTCTAGCCGAAATCAAACAAATAAGATTTTCTCCAGAAGAAAAAAATATTATCAGACATACTGTCAAAATTTCCTTGCTCTGTTAAACATCATTTGGGAAATACTTAAAAAAAAAAAAATTTCAAAGGTGGGCTAATAATTCTGATTTCAACTGTATATCGGTTAGTTTTTATCTTTTTTTCATCAACAAAAACACACTCTTTATCCATTAGATGAGTGGATCAGAGTGGGTGCATTCATACTAGTTTTCAGTCATGTTAAATGTCAAGTTTCTGTTTGTGTCAAGCTGCAGGCAACAATAATTTTTTGCCCTTATTTTTGTTGATGAAATTAACACTGCAAGCGACACAGACGCTGACCCCTCGTCACTGTAGATGAGGTCAAGTGCAGCCCTTGTGTGAGGGAGGAAGTGTGGAGGTGGATGAATTAATTTACAACTGAAGCACACTGAACCCACCCTGTTCCCTCCCATGCTGGAAGAGACCCAGCAACCCGGTTTCAGAAAAGTCTCAAGTTGCCATGCAGCTGCATATAAATGATGAGCCATTGTGTTTGTGATCTTCACACTTGGAGTTCACAGCTTTCACTCGACTATTTTACAATTTCGTCATTATTTACTCCCCCTCAAGTGGTTCCAATCTTTTATGTGTTTCTTTCTTCTGTTGAATACAAAAAGAAGATATTCTGAAGAATGTTCCCAAAATCCGGTAGCCATTAGCATCTATAGAAGGAAAAAATACTATGTGATCGGTTAGTTATTTCCAGCATTCATCAAAATATTTTGTGTTAGCACAAACTCAAACAGCGTTGGAACGATTTGAGGGTGAGTAAATAATGACAAAATAGTAATTTTGGGGGTTAACTTTCCCTTTTAGACATTGCTAGTCATGTTTGATGACATTCCATTTATTTCTTTAGCAGAGCTATAGCTAATGTGTCTTTTGCGAGTGTTAAAGAGCTAATCTGTCAAGTAGCGTCTTTTCGACAGTTAATATGCTGTTGAGACGATCCAACTGAGCTTCTGTAACAGATGGGTTTGGATGAGACTGTCTGGAAAATAGAAACGTGAAGAATATTATTCCAAGCGCTACAGAGGAGGACAAATGTTTCCTCTACAGCTCAAGAGTCTTAATTCCTGTACAAATATTTGTTGTAAGGCTGTGGAGTCTATTCCTCCATCACTCATATTTATTTCTTCACTCTCTGCGTTTCTCTTTAGAGACTGTGGAAATTATCGTAAAGCAGTTTTATTTTAAAGATAGAGTGTGAACACACTTGCCTCTTATGGCTGTTTTGGAAAAGAGTAAATCTTACTGTACTTGGGCAATATTTTTGGATGAACTATCCCTATAAGTCTTGTGATTAAACAGATTGTCCACCCAGAAATTAACATTCACCCTTGTTCAAAACCTGTTTGGGTTTCTTTCTTCTGTTGAAAATAAATTAATATATTTTGAAAAATGCTGGTTAATGGCACCCATTGACTTCCATAGTAAATTTATTACCTACTGTGGAAGTTGATGGGGTCCAGGAACCAGCATTTAAAAAAAATATTTAGCATTTAACAGAAGAAAGAAACCTATACGCAAATAAGATTAATATTATGAAGTAATTTACATTTTTGGGTGAACCATCACTTTCAAAACTAAATAATTTAAAGAAAAAATTCACACACAATAACAGAAAGCTGCCTTTATTTACTCACTGCAAAACCTATATGAATTGCTACTATTGAGGTTGATCAAATAAGATATTTTTTGTCCATTGTATTTTTTTTAACCATGAAAGTGAGTGGCTACTACAGCATATACTGTCTAATCTTTTTATATGACAGAATAAATTCATAAGAGGTTTGGAATGTCTTGCGGGTGAGTAAATGTTTGTGTGTACTATCACTTTGATTGTTACTAAGCAGTATGTTTATGACATTGCTTGAACATTTAACATTAGCACAGTTTATTTATATACTTGAAGAATCAACTTTAATAATCAATCATATAAAATATAACTAATATAATTTTATTTACATTTTAGATCCTTAAACATGCATTTCCTTATATAATATATAACAAATAAATAAGAGCTAGTGTTCTAATCTTTATTTGTGTGGGAAACTGAGAGCTTATATTGACATTTTATTGCCGAAGAGACACCCTTGTGTCTGCACTTCTGCAAAGCCATAATCCAGACAATCATTGAATCATCTTCAGCGATAAACCACAAGTAATAATACTTTTATTTTATAGACTGATGTTGGACTATTCTCACGATGCATTAATTTCTGGGGCTTTGGCTATGCTGTGTAGTACAAAAATACCACATTAGAAGTGTAAAATCGACAGATTGAGTCTAGTTTCTCTGTGTTTGCTTCAGTACAACTGTCACATTTATGACAGACATGTTAGGCCCATTGTCATAACATGTAAAATAAATCTCAATAAATCTGTCTGTGAAGTGTCAAAATACCCCATCTAGGATTTATTAAAGCTTGTCAAATTTACCTATTTGCTT